ATATATTTGATTGAGATTGTTATTTTTAAATATTTAGAACATTTTTATATGTTTGAAGTATTAAAAAAGGTTCATTACTTTTTGTTTTGTTTGTTGGAGCTCTTCATATTGCCTTGTTTAACTACGCAAGCAAGTAACAAGCAAGTTAAAGCTGTTTACAAGCCAAATCATCTCAACAACCATTTTTCAAAAGAAAAAAATAATAATAAGGGGTTTTAAAAATAATTCATTATCTTGTGTTTCTGAAAACAACGACTAAATCTAAGTTTAAGAAGAAAAAAAACAAAAGGAGTGACATTTCAATCTCTTTCACAATCGGGTTTAGCCTTCATTGAGGGTCTACTTTTGATGATGATTATCTTTTATACATATTATATGGAAGCATAAGAAAGGACTTATTCCATGAATAGTTGTTATAGTTCAATCGAAAGCTTTTTCGTATGTTCTTAGTACTCACATCATCTTTTGTTGTGGTATATATGAAATTTAAAATGATCGACTTTGACGAAGCAAAAAAAATGGAACGAGAAATGGAACGAGAAAATTCACACCAGAAAAGAACACATAGATTTACGTGATTCGGTAAGTTGTCTACATCCACGGAGTTGCAGAGGATTTTACTATTTGAGAAATTTACACCAGTCTCGATATTTACAAGAAAGATTTCTTTCTACAAACCACAGAGAGGAGCACTTGTGATTCTTCCTTCTTATTGTTGTAAGCCAACATCGGAGAACCACGCAGAAGAAGAAGAAGGCCGAACCGGCGATGCCTTGCAATTCCAATCCAATCAAAAATTGGATTTAATCCCTTCTACTTCATGCGTAGGCCACAGGCAAAGTCACGCCTTCTTTTCTCACGTCGCACGGGAGATTCAAACGGAGGCAGAAGAAGTCTAAGAGAACCGAACCTTGCTTTTTCTTCGTACTTGGAGTTCTGTCGTAGAAGCCAAGAAAATTTTTTCCTATGTTTCGTACGTGAAGAAGAAAAACCAAAAATAAAGAGAACCGCCTCCAAGTTGCACTTCACATCAAATGCAATTTCCTCTCCTTCTTTAATGGTGGCGGGTCCCACCTTCCATAGGCAAAATTAAATAGGTGGGAGTAGTTACAGAAAAGACAATAAACATATATATATATATATATTATATTTTAACCGGGCTCTGCACTCAACAAATCTCTCACTTAGAGACTGGTACACAGGCTACAATGTCTTCTTTCTCAAACTGATATCCTCCACTAGTAGCGTCACTCTTTTCTTCAAACATGAATCCTCCACTTTTGCAACTCAAGGCCCATGTCTTCACACTAGAAGACCAACTGAAGTTGCGCACAACTTCAATTTCTCAAGTGTAACAACCTTTGTCAACATATCACCAGGGTCTGGCTTCCACAAATTTTTTCAAGCAACAGTTGTCTGTCATCCAACAATGATCGTATGAAGTGATACCTGATCTGAATGTGCTTTGTCCTGGACTGAAATGATGGATTCCTGGCAAGGAATATGACGCTCTGATTATCATTATAGAGTATGTCCATCTGATCTTTCTTGCCTAATTCTTTCAAGGAGCCCTATAGCCATATCATCTCCTTTGCAACCTCTGACATTGCTATGTACTCAGCTTCTGTAGTAGATAATGAAACTGTCTTCTGCAGATTAGAACCCCATGATACTGCAGTGTCACCAATAGTATAAATATAGCCTGTAGCACTTCTTCTAGTATTAATGTCTCCAGCTAGATCAACATCAACATAGCCCCGTACCTCTGAACTCTTTCTTGAGAAACACAAGCAATTTTCTGCAGAGCCTCTTAGGTACCTTAAGATCCACTTCACTGCTTCCCAATATTTCTTCCTGGATTACTCATGTATCTGCTAACAACTCCCACTGCATGGGCAATATCTGGTCTGGTGCAAACCATAACATACATAAGTGAACCAATAGTTGAAGCATAAGGAACCTTACTCATGTGATCTCGTTCTTCCTCTGAATTGAGTGACTGATTCTTGCTAAGTCTGAAGTGACTTTCTAAGGGTGTACCAACTGATTTGGCCTTATCAATGTTGAACCTGCTAAGTACCTTTTTCACATACTCAGCCTGAGAGAGTCTCAACATGCCTCTGACTCTATCTTTGACAATTCTCATACCAAGGATTTGCTTTGTAGCTCCGAAATCTTTCATTGCAAAGTGCTCAGACATCTGCTCCTTCAGATTATTGATCTCCTCAATACTAGCATTTGCAATAAGCATATCATCCACCGACAGCAATAGGATGATATAAGAATTGTCAAAATACCTGACATAACAATAGTGATCTGTCTGACATCTGATGTACCCTGCACTATACATGAAATAATCAAATTTCTTATACCACTGTCTAGGAGCTTGCTTTAGGCCATACAAACTCTTCTTCAATCTGCAAACTGACTATTCATTTCTCTGCACCACGAACCCTTCAGGTTGATGCATATAGATGTCTTCTTTAAGATCCCCATGAAGAAAAGTTGTCTTCACATATAACTGCTCAAGGAAGAGATCTTCGGTAGCAACCATAGCCAGGACCATCCTGATGATTGTGAGTTTTACCACAGGAGAAAATAGAGAAAATCTCGGAATAATCAATATCGTGCTTATGCTGAAAACCATTTACAACAAGTATAGCCTTGTACCTTTTACTGTCATCATGATCAGTCTTCACCTGGTACACCCACTTGTTGTGTAATGCCTTCTTCCCAGATGGAAGATCTGCTAACTCCCAAGTCTGATCTTCAAGCAAAGAATCCATCTCCTTCTTCATGGCTAGCTCTCACTTGCTCAAATTTTCATCTTGCAAGATTTTTTCATAACTCTGAGGTTCTTCACCATCTGCCAGCAGAATGTAGTTCAAAGTTGGAGAATAACGTTGTGGAGAACGTCTAGCCCTTTCTGACCAGCGAACTGCAACTGTAGGGGTAGACTTCTCTGAAACTGACTGTGGAACAAATTGTGGAATAATAGGAGTGGATGCCCCGAATCCACTCTCTTCATCATCTGCATCACTGTCCTGCACTGTGACACTGTGACCTATGGTAAATCATCAAATCTTACCAACTAAGATTCCTTCAGCACTGTTTCAGAAATTGTACTAGACTTATCCTTATACATAACATTCTCATTGAAAATCACGTTCCTGCTCCTTATGATCTTCCGACCCTGATCATCCCAGATTCAATACACAAATTCAATACACAAATGTCTCATCTCCATAGCCAATGAAATAACACTTCCTTGACTTAGCCTCAAGCTTATTACGAGCATCAGGATTAATGAGAATATAAGAACGACAACCAAAAGTCTTAAGGTGAGAAAATTTTACCTCTTTCCCACTCCAAGAGAAAATTTTACCTTTTTCCTACTCCAGACTTCTTCAGGTAATTCACAGTTTAATGGAACAGATGACCCCATGTTGATCAAATAAAATGCAGTGCTGACCGCTTCTGCCCAGAAAGTTGGTGGTAATCCGACGTGCAATCTCATGCTTCAAGCCCGCTCATTAATGATCCTGTTCATACGCTTTGCAACACCATTTTGTTGCGGTGTCCCTGGAATGGTTTTCTCCATTCTGATTTCCTGAGCTGCACAATACTCCTTGAACCCACCAACAATGTACTCACCACCATTATCAGACCTCAGACATTTCAGCTTTAAGCATGTCTCTGTCTCAACCATGGTCTTTCAAGTCTTGAACACACTGAATACATTGGATTTATACTTCAAGAAATAAATCCATACCTTTCTGCTATGATCATCAATGAATGTGACATAGTAACGAGAGCCTCCAAGAGATGCCACTGGAGAAGAAGAGAAAGAGATGCCACTGGAGAAGGTCCCCACACATTTGTGTGTACAAGATCCAGCTTTCCTGCCTTTGGCGTTCTGTCATCTTTCAAGAAACTGACCTTCCTTTGTTTGCCTATAATGCAACTCTCACAGATGTCAAGATCAACTGACTTCAGTTCTAGTAGCTTACCTCTAGACTGAAGTTCTTTCATACTTCTCTGACTCATGTGGCCAAGTCTACCAAGTCTACAATGCCACAACAATGCCACAATTCTGTTGTGCTCTCTGCAACAGTAGTATCAATACTGTTAATTAAACCAGTTGTCATATATAACGTACCTGTTTTCTTACCACGAGCTAGTACCAGTGCCCCTTTAGTAACCTTTCAGGTGCTATCTGAGAACACTACTGAATGTTCACACTCATCAAGCTGCCCAACAAAAATGAGGTTCTTCTTCAATTTAGGAATGTGTCTGACATTTTGCAGAGTCCACTTGTTCTTATTTGGAAGTGCAATGTCAATATCTCCCATTCCTACCACGTTCAGAGCTTCTGCATCTGCCAGATATATTTTCCCAAAGTCACTTGCAACATAAATCCACATCAATTCTTGATGAAAAGTTGTATGAAAAGAAGCTCCTGAATTCAGTATCCAGTCATCAACAGAACTATGAACTGCCAGCAGTAGTGCATCATGTGATTCTTCAGTTACCACATTCACACTGTCATTCTCCTTCTTTTTAGATCTCCTACAGTTTCTCTTTATGAGGTAAGTTTTGTCACAATTACAACAAGTTACTTGTTTGTCAGGCATTGACTTGTATCTGCTTCTGTTTTTTGATTTTGATCTTCTCCTGTTTGAGTTTTTGTCAAGTGATCTCCCTCTAAAATTAATATTTAATGATGAACTCAAACCTAAGATCTCGTCAGAATCTTTCCGCGCACCTTCTTAGCTAAAATCAAATCACGAAATCTTGAAAAATTCAGTTTAGATTTAGCTGCAGAATTACTGACAGTCATCCTCATAGCTTCCCACCTATTTGAGTTTGGATGTTTAGCATGTATTTTGAAATTTTTTAGTTAGCATGTAAAAACCCCAAATATTAAATAATTGGACACAACTTTATTAAAAAGAGCATGCCCATAAGAATCGAGTGGCATGCTTGTATGTAAACCTGTAAAGCCACAACACTTCGCCTAATTCGATACTTCTCTTCACGTTCCAAGAGCCACCTGAAAGCTTCGCTCTAATTGATGGCGGTTGCCAACAGAGCCAGGGGCTTCGTCAACCTATTGTCTCGTTCTTCGTTGCAGACGGGCTCAAAGCCCTTTCAGCTTCGTTGCTTCGCCGCAAAGGCTTCGCCAATGAGGCCGGCGACGGTGGTAACAACAGTTGCAAATGCAGTGGAGGACTTAGGGGTTCCTACCGAGGGGATTAGCCGCCCTCTCTCTGAGATCCTGATGGAGCTCGGTAAGAAGGTTCCGGACTCCTTCGTGAAGGCACGGGTCGAAGACGGACAGACCATCAAATATGTTCCATGGTAGAAGTCAGAATCCGAACTTCCCAGCTCTTTCTCTCCGTCTGCTTCTTTAAGTTCTTCTTCGTTTTGGTTTGCGGTCTGATCTCAAAAGTTTGCTTTGAACGATCTTATGCGATCAAATCTGTTTTTAGCTAAATTTTACTTGAAGTGTCTTTTTAAGCTGCTTGCTTCTGCTTTGAGGTGATTTATGGAGTTCATGACGAGTGATCAGTTGGCTTTTCTGGTGCGTGAGAATTTCTTTTTCTTTTAATGTTTCTTTGCATTTACCCTCCCCAGCAAAAAAAGCGAGAGAGGATAGATGTTTCTTTGCATGCGTTGCTTTGGACATTATTGATTTCTCTTCATGATCGGAGAGGTAAGGTGCAAAAAAGGAGGGAGGGGGTGAGGTTTCTTTTCACATTTTTAATGTGATATTAAAGATTTGAGTGCTGTGTTTGTAAATATGAAAGTTTAGATGTGAGATATGATATTATTTTTAATTAGCGTTTTGTGCTATATATGTAAATGCTCCCTTCATATTTTTTCTTACTAGTATTTAAATGTGACAGTTCATGAAGAATTTTCATGACCCGATGAGTAAAAACATAACTGCGTTCCATTATAGTTCCAATAACTAATCTACCTTTTGTATTGATAGAATGGAAGTTGTTATGCATTCCTTTTCTTTCTAATACTAGATAGAGATCCTTGTAATGGAAGAAGATGATGTAAGGCTTGGAAGCTCCATGAAGGTGCCAATCACACTGTGTTGTTTGGAGTTTGCATTTGAATTTAACACATAAAATTGACCTTTGTGTGTCTTCTTCTTGCTATTTCTCCTGCCCTTCACAGATCTTTGTGTGTATGTCATTTTGCTTTGAAACTAATGGGATGACTCGAAGAATTCTTTTCAGCTTTGCATAATATTTTTGTGAAAAGTTTGAATGTTTTTGACATAAAATAATATACACAAATCAAAGTGGCTGACGTAAGCAATATAACCCTTGCACAGCGACTCCAAAGGATTGTTTTTGTTGGGGATTTTACTGTAAAGTTTGGAGTTCTTCATCCTGTTGTAAAGTAAATTCAAAGTACTTGTTTCATTGCCAAGTTTTATTTTCTTTTTCATCCTGTTGTTTGAGTTATGATCTCTTTCCTGAGAGCAACTGCAGCAACTCTTGTCAAGCTATTGCTATGTCATGAAGACGCTAGAAAATATAAATTTTGTAGCTTAAAGATGTTTGATTTAAGTGATGTCTCCCAAAAGATTTTGAATGAAATTAAGTCAATTTAAGTACTAAAAATGTAGGGGAAAAACTACAAATGTTACTAAACATGTTACCTTATACAGTTTCCTTTTAACCTAAATTTTGATTTACACCTTGAAACGATTTCTTTTGAACTTGTGTGCTTCAAGCTTTTATTGGCATGTCTTCAACGGCCCTCCATGATGGCATATACCTATGATAAGTAATTTTTTTTTAAATTTGGGCATCCAAATAAGTTTGGACCTATTATCATTAATATTTAATTATTTGAAACTTGTGCATGTCTTGGTAGTGAATATAATGTAGTGTCTTCAGGAATCCAAACTTATGTAGATATACTAATAATTTTTTTTTTATCTTCTAAATGTGCAGGCGTAAGCAACATGGTTATTTCTTTTGTAACCAAGCACATTTAATGTTAGGTAAAGCATACATATAGAATTTAACAATTGTATGCTCATCAGTTTATTTGTGTGCGTGCTCTAGGATGCAAGATTTTCATCTGTTTTTGAAATGAAGCTTTCATGCATGTTAGTTTTTTCTATCAAGTTCTGCTTATTATGTACAAAAGTGTTTCTTTGCTTAGAGAATATAAAAATGCTACCCAACACTATAACCTGTTTAGCAATATTCAAAATAAAATTTAGAGTTGAGAGGATAGGCTTCTTTTTTGTTAATGGTCGAATTATCTTAAGGGTGTTTTAAGTGCCATGCTTATTCATTTACTTCAATTTGTGCCCTTAAAGTGCATTTAGTGAAAGATATGTGTGTTTATTTGGTTATTTTATCCCCGGGAGTTATGATTCCTTGTGCTAACTTTGTTTTTTTTTATTATTATTGGAATGATTTTATCTGCTTATTCTTAAAGGTGAGTTAGGTTTTGGAAGCCTTAATAATGTTATTATGGCCTTTTTTTTTTAAATTGTGGTGGGACTTTGGACTCAAGGCAACCTTTAGTCTGAATTCATGCATATTAGATATTGTAAATAATAGTCCCAAGTTTATGAAGGTTTGGAATTTTGAATTCTCGCCTTGCAAAAAGTTTGTCGGAGAATTTGTTGAAAATCTTATTTATTTGGGTTGGGTGCTAGTAGGTTTTTATTTACTTATTTGTTAGCATGATGCTTGGTTCAAATCTCTTTCAAGGTCATTGTTATTTTGATGAAGTTAGAGATTTCTTCTTTGATGATGAATGGCAGGAGGCTTTACTTAATGTCATCTCCTTGAAGATTTTGTTATTCATATTTTAGATATTCTCCTTTAAAACATGAATAAAGATGCTATTTTATGTATTGTCTTTCTTAATGCTTCCCTGAAAACTAAGTCTTTATAGGAGGTGTTAATTTTGGAGTGGAAATAGATTTCAATGGATTATTTTGGCATTTAAAAAAAAAGGGTAATTTTGGCATATATGGATTCTTGTCATAATTTTCTTCAACTAAATGTTTATTTCATGAGGTTCTCCATATTAATCTTAGATTGAAATGTTGGGATTTTACTTTTGCTTCCAATTGACAATTTTATTATAAATTGGAGCCTTTAACTCACGTTTTCCTCCATGGATTTAGTGTTCCAAGGTGTTGTATCATTATGCTTCTATTTCTTAGGTTTAGATTTATAAAAGTTATAATTTAAAGTTTTTATTAACCTAAAAACATTTTGGTTCATAGGATGGTGGTGTTTACCTATGTTTATTGTTGTCGTTTTGTTATTTGGTTTGTTGGCTTGAGAGAATACTATGAAATTTGATAATTGTTCTTGTAATTCATATGAGTTTCTTTATAGTGTGGATAATCATATTTAACTTCTATTGGATTTTGGTTTGTATAATCTTATTTTGTTCTATTGTGCTCCCTTATGCAATTGATACTTTAATATTCCTTATTTGGCTACTATTCACATTGTGAAATTTTTTTTGTTGGATTAAAGTTTTATTTGGAGTACTTAAGCTTAATTTTGATTATCATGTTGATGGTTCTTGATGGAGGGTGTCATAAGATCTTGGTGTAGAAGGAACACTTTAGCCACTTTTGGAGGACTTTATGAGGAAAGCTTGGTACTAAGCTTCTGTTCAACTCAACAACTCACGCACAGACAGATTGTCAGACAAAGGCTATGAACAAGAGTTTGGGGAATCTCCTGAGGTGTTTTATAGGGAATAACATCAAACAATGGGATTTGATTCTATCCCAGGCTGAATTTGCTTGCAATAGGTCCGTGAGATAGATTACAGGACATACTTCCTTTGAGATTGTGAATGGGCACAACCACACTTGAGTTGGTACAACCTCTTCATGCTACAAAGGTTAGTGTAGATGTCGAGCCTAGAGCGCAGGAGAGTCAGAGGCTACATGATGAGGTAGAGAGAGCGATCACCAAGCAAAACCACAAGTATTAGGAGTAAGCTAGTAAAACCAGGAAGAATGTGGCTTTTCAAGGGGAGACTAATGTGGATCAGATTGAAGAAAGAGAGGCTTCCCCAAAGCAGATTGACATTTCAGGATCCTCAAGAAGCTGAATCAAAACGCTTATAGGATTGACTTATTGGGAGTAAGCTAGTAAAACCAGGAAGAATGTGGCTTTTCAAGTGGAGACTAATGTGGATCAGATTGAAGAAAGAGAGGTTTCCCCAAAGCAGATTGACATTTCAGGATCGTCAAGAAGCTGAATCAAAACACTTATAGGATTGACTTATTGGGAGATTACAACATTTCTGTTACCCCCCAATTTGGTCGACTTTACTTTATACCATGAGGGGACAGAAGCTTCGATGGATGAGGTCAAAGCTTTTCCAACCCTGGGGCGTTTGTTCGCCCTGCTACTTGGACCGATTCGGTCCAAGGGTCTTGAGAGCTGGCCAGCCCTCTATGCAGAGGAGTACCACCTCTTTTTAAGAGGGGGCCCTCTCCTAGTTATTTGATGATGATGATGATGATGATGATGATGATATATATATATATATATATATATATATATATATATTCTCTTTGTTGATGTCTAGGGTTTAATTTTTACCGTGAATTGCTTTGGGACAGCACTCGTCATCTCCTTTTCTCTCTACGGATTGTATCTTGGTCTCCAAGTAATGTTTATCCTTCTTATACATTTCCCTCTCCTACATTTCTTTCACATTCCCTCTCCTTCCTCCTTGCTATCGCCACCCGAACAGTCCTCACGCAGCTATTCCTACTGCTTGCTTGTCGTCTGGACTCTTGAAAACTGTCGTCTTGTTGATTCTAGCTTGCTAGCCACCTCCCCGGAGGTCCAAACCCTAACCGACACCACCTACACCCTAGATGCAACCCTAATTTCAGTGTTGTGTTGTTTTGTTGCAATTTCAAATTTCCCTACTATTTGTTGTAATTTTAGATTTTCTATTCAATGATAATATTTGTTTTCCTTGGGTATTTGTTAAATTTTGGTATCACCTCCAGAATAGTTCGCAAACCTTTGGGTACTTGCATGGAAGTCTCAAAGAATAAGAGAACATGATCCACATACAATAGATGTGATATACAAGCCCCTCCATTATATATGCTAATACCCAAGTGTGTTCTCTTTGAGAGAGGGCTGGGGAGAGGAGTTTTGAACACAAAATGAAGAGGTACGAGGACAAAGGACAACCTTCTCTGAACGGACAGTCTGCCTTTATCCAATTTGATATTTTTCCATTAATGGGGAGGGTAAACTTTGGTTTCTCCACACACTTAATAATCCAATTTATGAACCTTTACGGAAAACCCATAGCTTGAA